CAACGACAGCTATTCAAATTGCCAGGACCCTTAGTTTCCACACAAACTTCTTGTGGTTTTTATCAGGGAAAGATAAAATAATGCACAGGACACTTGAAGGACAAGGGTTGGCATTCAGCACAAAGTGCTCAATGCTTCTTTCTTTTTTCTTCTTTTTGGTTTTTCGAGATGGGGTTGCTCTGTGTAGCTTTGGCTGTCCCGGAATTCTTTCTGTAGACAGAGATCCGCCTGCCTCTGCCTCCTGAGTGCTGGGATTAAAGACATGTGCCACCAGTGCCCGGCTCAATGTTTGTTTCTATTTATTGCTTTCACGGCACTTATAGCACAAATAAATAAAAGACCCACCATATTGGGGTTCAACCTGAAGATCAGGGAAGCAAAGCAGGCAAGCTACCAGAGAGCTCTTATCTCTAAAAGGGCTGGGCGTTCTTATTCTCAAGGTTGCTAGAGAATGAATGCCTGATACTGAGACCTTTCTCCTGTCTTATATACCTTTCCTAATACTGGGATTAAAGGTGTGTGATCCCAGGAGCTGATAACATCTTCGTGTGAGCTAATTCTCTTTGGGACTGGATCAATCTTGTGTAGATCTGGATGGCCTTGGACACAGAGATCCGTCTACCTCTTAATCCTGAGTTGTAGGACTAAAGGTGTGTACCACCACGTCCTAGTTTCTGGCTGCTGGGATTAAAAGTGTGTGCCTGTCTTCTATGACTTGTGGCTGACTTTGCTTTCTGAATACTCAGGCAAGTTTTAATAAATCATAAATAATAAAGCACCACAGGTGTTAATTCAATAAACAGCTGTATATATGCTAACCATGTAGGTGGTAGGGTTGGTTGAGCAAAACTTGCCAGGCATTTTTTAAATTCAATTTTATGTGTATGAGTGTTTGCCTGAATGCATGTATGTGCACACATGCCAGGGAAAGGCAGAAAAGGGCTTGTGGCTCTTTTGGAACTGGAGTTATAAGCAGTTGTGAGCTGCCATGTGCATGTTGGAAACTGAGTCCAGGTCCTCTGCAAGAGCAGCAAATGGTCTTAACCACTGTGCCATGCCTCCAGCTCCATTTGGCAAGTTTTTGACTTTGGAGAAAGAGAAGCTTGCCTTTTGAAGCAGAGGTGAAAACCATACACACTAACAGAGAAAAGACAGTGTTAATAAAATGAAGTGGATGAGTGGTACATGATAGAAATAGGCTCTGATTAATTGGCAAATGTTGCCATAAAAGAATGTTGACCTACAGATACAGACCTACTTTTGTTTTTAAAAGACTTAAATTGCAGCCCGTTGGTGGTTGTGCATCCCTTTAATCCCAGCACTCTGGAGGCAGAGGCAGGCGGATCTCTGTGAGTTCGAGGGCAGCCTGATCTATAGAGTGAGTTCCAGAACAGCCAGGGCTGTTAAACAGAGAAACTCTGGCTCAGAAAACCAAAAATAAAATAAAATAATAAATAATAGATATGTAATAATAAAATAATAAAGAGAGAATTCAATGCTATCCTTAGCATATAGTGAGTTCCAGACTGCCCTGTATCATGAGACCCTGTAAATTTGAGCCAAATAAAGAAATTTTATGCCCCTTGACTGCTTGTTGGAACTCAGGTGGAGATAGATTGTCAGATATCAATCCAGAAGCAAACAAGAGTAAAACAGTATCCTTGAAAAGCAGGGTGTGGGCTCAGGAAAAAAAAAAAAAAAAAGCACATTTGACCTAGTCAGAGAAGTATTCCCAAAGGAAGTGGCTGCTGACCTGAAAACTGAAGGATTAAATAGATATTATCTAAGTGAATAAGGATTCCAGGAAAAGATCATGAAACCCAGGGTGTTGTGGCTGAGAGGAGGCAGAGTATTTTGTAAAACCTAGAGACCTTTCTATACTGCCATAACTTTTTTTTTTTTTATTTTGGGCTTGTCATCTGTGGGAAAGTTTTACATTGGAGAGTATCATGATTTGATTTGTGTTTACACTATCATGTAGGAGGATAGATTGAAGGGCTGCTTAATTCGATGCAGGAGCACAGTTAGGAGACTGTCACGCAGGGCCCAGTGATGTAACTTAGCTTAGGGTAATGAAGGCTGAGTTGGAGAGAAGCATATCGATAGTAATAGGACTGTTTTGATTTAGTTTCTTAGTCATGTAAAAATTTGAAAATCAAAACTTTATACAAACATTCATTAGACATTTTTCCTTGTATGTCTTTGGCCTTCTCTGTCCTTAACTTACTGTTGTCTTCTGTAGAGATAGTAAGTCATGTATGGGTGTTTCATATGATAAAAATTTTACAAATGCATTCTAGAAAATGAAACTAGATGCCATGGGAGAGCAAAGGACCTTATACATTGTTGGTTTGTTTTGAGACAGGGCCTCACTGTATTATATGGGCTGGTCTCATACTCACAGAGAGATCCACCCACCTCTGCCTCCTGGAGTGCTGGGATCAAAGGTGTGCACCATAGTGCCTAGATTGACCTCTTACATTCTTGATAAAGCTTGTCAACCATGTTCACATGTGCTTTTTTGCAGGCAGGAAATTCAGAGGATGTCAGGGACTGTTGAGTAAATGTCATATATACTAGTCTATTTTCTGCATTTGAAGCATTTACTACAGATATAAACTAGAGTTTTCTCTCCTGTCTTTTGTATTGTAAAAGAAATTTCCTCTTTGCATCATATATATATGCATTTAATAAAGACTTGTGAGGTCTTAGCACATTCAGGGTGCTGAGGTAGAAAAATAGCCTTTTTCAATGATGAATTTAGGGCGATATGAATGTTCATTTCATTCTTTGTAAACATTGTCTCCACCAGATCAATAAATCCGAGAAGCCAGAAAGCTGCGATAATGTGAAGGTTGTTGTTAGGTGCCGGCCCCTCAATGAAAGAGAGAAATCGATGTGCTATAGACAGGCCGTCAGCGTGGATGAGATGAGGGGAACTATCACCGTCCATAAGACTGATTCTTCCAACGAACCTCCAAAGACATTTACTTTTGATACTGTTTTTGGACCAGAAAGTAAACAACTTGATGTATATAACTTAACTGCAAGACCTATTATTGATTCTGTTCTGGAAGGCTACAATGGTGAGTGAATAAGCAGCTTGCTTAAAAAAAAAACAAAAAACAAAAAAATCCCACTTTATTGTTGTAAAAGTAATGCCCACTAAGATAAGTAGTTTACCACTTGCAAGGACAACTTGATGAATTATGGTAAACATATACGGCTGTGAGACCTCACAGTACTGTTTAGAACCCTAATGTCATCCTCAAGCATTCCTTTCCACTGTTCTTGCAACCTCCCACCCTGCACCCTTTGATCTGCCATCACAGCACCATAGTTTTCTCTTTTTGAAATTTCATTTAAGTGACATCATAAAATGCCATCTTTTATTTATTTATTTATTTTTATTTTATATGTGTGAGTATTTTTGCCTATGTATAGGTCTGTGCTTGTACCACATGTGTGCAGTGCGTGCGTGCGTGAGTGCGTGTGTTGTGTTCACATTTTGGTTTGGTTTTTCGAGACAGAGTTTTTCTCTTTCTAGCCCTGGCTGTTCTCTGTAGACCAGGCTGATCAGAAGTCTTCCTATCTTCCTGCCTCTGCCTCCCCAGTGCTAGGATTAAAGGCTTTCACCACCATACCTGGCTTACTTTGTGATTTTTTTTTATACTACTGAATTGTGTTTCTTTATTGAGACAGGGTCTCATATAGCCTGGGTTGACCTTGAATTTGTTAGTACTTGAGGCTAGACTCGAACTCCTTCCTGATTCTCTAGCCGCCATCTCTCTGAATTGCATTCTGTTGTATGTCTGTAACACACACTGTCCATTTACCAATTGATGGAAATACAGCCTTTTTACTAAGATAAATAATGATGCTATATGTTTTTGTCTTGGATAGATCTCTGAATTTGGATTGTCAGTGGTAAGCATATATACAGATACAAATATGTATATATAGATACCCCATTACTCCAACATCATTTGATGGTGGTGGTGTGTGCCTTTAATCCTAGCACTTGGGGGCAGAGGCAGGCAGATCTCTGAGTTTGAGGCCAGCCTGGTCTACAAAGCATGTTCCAGGAAAGCTAGGGGTACACAGAGAAACCCTGCTTCCCACCCCCCAAAAAACCCAAAACAAAGCCAACAAGAAGTTCCTTCTTTTGCTATTGAATTGGCTTTTGGGGGGTGGGGGAAATGTTAAAAATCAATCTACATAAATATGTGTACTTACTTTTGGACTGCTTGTCCTATTCCATAGCTAGTCTGCCTTGATAGCAGTAGCTTTGTAGTGCTGTTGAAGTTAGGTAGCAACCATTCTCCAACTTGGCTGAGTTTGTTTGTTTGTTTGTCTTTTTTTTGTTTTCAAAATTGGTTTTGCCCTTTGTATTTTCATATACATTTTATAACCAACTTGACAGTTTCCATAAAATACCTTTTGGGATATTGATCCAGTTGTGTTGAATTGCTGTACTGACACTAAGGAGTCTTCTGTTTCATTAACATGACTGTCTGTTTATGTCTTGCTTAATTAAACTCTCACTTCTTCTAATAGTTTTCATGTTATTCTTTGTGTGTGTGTGTGTGTGTGTGTGTGTGTGTGTGTTTCGAGACAGGGTTTCTTTGTGGGTTTGGAATCTGTCCTGGAGCTAGCTCTTGTAGACCAGGCTGGTCTCGAACTCACAGAGATCTGCCTGCCTCTGCCTCCCAAGTGCTGGGTTTAAAGGCGTGAGCCACCACTGCCCAGCTTCATGTTGTTCTTATAAGTTTAAAAATTATGTTTACTTACTTACATGAGGACATGTGTATAACAACCAGAAGACAACTTGGGGGAGTCATTTCTTGCTGTCTACAATGGAAATCCCAGGAATAAACTTAGTTGTCAGGTTTGGTGACAAGTGTCTTACCCACTCAGCCTCTTTCTTGCCTACTTCTCAGCATTCTATTGTAAATAGAATTGTGTGCTTAATTTTATCTTGTGACTAAGTATTGTTGATATACAGAAATATGTATATATACAGAAATATGACGGGCGGTGGTGGTGCACACCTTTAATCCAAGCACTCAGGAGGCAGGTGGATCTCTGTGAGTTTGAGGCCAGCCTGGTCTACAGAGTGAGTTGCAGGATATCCAGAGCTACGAAAAGAAACCCTGTCTCAGAAAAAAACAAAAAAAAGCACAACAACAACAAAATAACGTGTATATATATACCTGTATACATATATATCTGTATACATACATACATACATATCTGTATACAGAAATGATTTTTGTTTTTGTTTTGTTTTATTTTGGTTTTTCGAGACAGGGTTTCTCTGTATTGCTTTGGAGGCTGTCCTGGAACTTGCTCTGTAGACCAGGCTGGTCTCAAAATCACAGAGATCTGCCTGCCTCTGCCTCCCGAGGGCTGGGATTAAAGGTGTGCACAACCAGTGGCCGGCATGTATTTGGTTTTTAAGTATTTTTTCTTATTAAGATAAAATTGAAGTGACATAAATCCACTCATCATTTTATAATGTAGGACTCATAGGTTTTCAGTGGATCACAGTGTTCTTAGACAGTTTCCAGCTACCCGAGAAGGATTCTGCATCTCAGTGTCAGCCACTTGGTCCTCTCACCTTGGTCCTTGGTGCTCTGCTGAGTTTTCCTGCCCTGGCATTTCATGGAAAGGGACTCACATACCAAGTAGTCTTTTATCTGGCTTCTTTCATTAGCACAGTGTCTTCTAGGTTCCTTCTTATTGTAGAATGAATCGGTATTCATTCAATAACCAAATAATATTCCATTGTATAGATGCATTTTATTTGTACTTTTATCAGTTGAACATTTGGGTTGTTTCTGCTTTATGGCTGTTAGAAATAATGTTGTTATGGATACTCTTGTACATGCTTTTAACTTTTCTGAGCATACACACCTAGGAGTGGGATTGCTGAGTCTCACGAGGTAACTTCATTTGACCTTTTGAAGAACTGCCAAATGGTATTTCATAGTGACATCACCATTTCGTATTCCTACTAGCAATGTGAGCGTCCAGTTTCTCCATGCCCTTGCCAGCATCTGTTACTGTCATTTTGGTAGTGTTGGCCTAATGGCACAAAGTGCTGTTTCATGACTTGCAGTTGATTTTATATATTGATTTCATATATTTAGCAAGGTTGTATCCTGCAACCATGCTAAACAGTAATTCTAGTTGGTTTTAGTGTTTGCCCCTCGGGTGGGGGATGGAGATCAAATTCAGACCCTTATACTTAAAAAAAAATTCTCTAGGATTTTCTACATACATAATTATATTGTCTGCCAGTGAAGACAGTTTTTACTTTTCTTTCCAACCTTTTGTCTTCAATTTCGTTTTGTGTTAACCTTTCTGGTCCCCACATGGTGATTTGCGTCTTTTTTTTTCCTGACTGGAGATTTATACTTGGGGTAGTTTTCACTTTTCCTATATTGCGTCATGTTTTCTATCTGATTTCTGTTCAAATCTTAATTGCTCCTTTTCTCTGACTTTGGATTTAATTTTCCTCTTGCTCTCTCTCTCTCTTTTTTTTTTTTCCTTTTGATTGTTGTTTGTTGGAAACAGAGTCTCTCATGTAGTCCTGGCTGTCTTAGAACTGACTCTGTAGGCCAGCCTGGCCTGGGACTCAGAAGTTCTTCTACTTCTGCCTCCAGAGTGCTGGATAAAAGGCCTGAGCCACTATACCCAGCCTCTGTTTTCTTAAGGTGGGAACTGAGGTTGCTGTTTAGTCGTTTCATGTCTCTAATATAGTTTAGTAATATATCCTGCCCTCACATAACTGCTTTAGTGTCACCTAAGACTTTGACATACAAATCATGTTTTCACTTACACCCATTTCAGAATGCTTTCTTGTGTGTGTGTGTGTGTGTGTGTGTGTGTGTGTGTGTGTGTGTGGTGTGTGTGTGCGTGCGCGCGCGCGCGCGCGCGTGCCTTGATGTTTGTGCCGAATGCTTGCATGTATTACCCACATGTGTGCAAAGGCTAGAAGTCAACCTTGAGTGTTGTTCCTCAGGAGGGATCTTCCTTGTTTTTGAGATAGGGAGCTGGGTAGGCTAGCTAGTGAGCTCCAGGATCCTCCTCAGTGTTGGAATCCAAGCGAATGTCACCACCTCTGGCTTTTTATGTTGTGATTGAACTCAGGTCCTTGTGCCTGTGTGACAAGCACTTTACCCATTGAATCATCCACCTCATTGATTCTTTAATACTTTGTTTATATGTTATTTATATTTAGTTGAGATATTTTGTGGGGTTTTTTTCCAGAGGTTTTCTGTTGATTCTACACTAATTTAATTTTAGCTAGTGTTGTGTGATAAAGATTAATTAAATTAACACTTGAAGCTAGTGAACATACTTTTGTGATTTGAATCTTACTAGGTTTATTGAGACTTTTTTCCTTCCCTGGAATGTAATGTATTATTAAATGCCTTGTGTATATTTGAAAAGGCTGTGTGTTCTACTGTTGAGGCAGGGGTATTCTTTTAACATTTACTAGTCAGTTGGTTTGCTAGCATTGTTCAGCTCTTTTGTCTTTTTGATCTGTCAATCACAGAGAAATCTGAGTACATTTTCTGATTTGCCTTTTTTTTTGTTAAGCAGGGTTTCACTAGGAACCTTTGGTTGACCTTGAACTCAGTGCTGGGATTAAACATATGAACAACCATGCTGGACTTCCTACTTTTTGTTCTTTCCTTTTCTTATATTTTGGGACTCTGTGAGAAAGTGCATGAATACTTAGGATTTTTTTGCCATCGTGGTGACTTTTTGTTTTGTTTTGTTTTGTTTTGTTTTGAGACAGGGTTTCTCTGTGTAGCTTTGGAGCCTATCCTGGCACTCGCTCTGGAGAACAGGCTGGCCTCGAACTCACAGAGACTTGGTGACTTTTTTTTTTAAATTGTGAAATTGTTCTTTTCTGTTTTTTCTTTTCGTTCTTTCTTTCTTTTTCTGCCCCAGGGCTTCATGCTTGCTAGGCAAGTGCTCTACCACTAAGCTACGTCCTTTACTCTGTGAAATCATCCCCCTTACTCTGCTCTGGAACTGGCTATGTGTGGTATTGATATAGACACTTTAACTTTTCTTTTAATTGTTCTTAGCATGGTGTGTCTTTTCTCCATCCTTTTAATCCATTTGTGTTTTGATATTGAAATATTGAAAGCACATTTCTTTTCTAAAAAGTGTACTTGTGTGTATCTGTGTGTGTGTGTGTGTGTGTGTGTGTGTGAGAGAGAGAGAGAGAGAGAGAGAGAGAGAGAGAGAGAGAAATGGGAGGAGAAAGGCATGTACTTGGCCAAGGGCTTGTGTGGAAGCCAGAGGACATCTCCGTGGAGTTGGTTCTCATCTTTCACTGTCACAGTGGGGCCAGGGTTCAGACTCAGGTGACCAGATTAGCATGGCAAGTGCCTCTTTCCCACAGAACCATTTCAGTGTCCTGGAAGTGCAGTTCTAGTAGGGAGCTGCAGTGGAGCTTGCCCCACCATCATCACAAGTGTGTCTTTCTCCTCAGTTGACTTGAAGACTTTTTGCTTTATTGTTGGTTTCATTTCATTTGATTGCCGTATGCTTTGCTGGGTCTTTCTTTGTGTTTGTGGTACTAAACTTTTTGGGTTTGTAGATTACAGATTGCATCCATTGTGGGAAATTTTCTGCTGTCTTTCTTTAAATAGTTTTAGTCCTTGTCCTTATTTCTTTTGGAAACTCCAGAGATGTGTAGGAACACTGAAACTGTCCTGTGGCTGCCTGATGCTCTGCTCCACTTTTGTTTTCTGTCTTCTCTGTTTTGCTTGTAGGATTATGTTTTCTAAAGTACTGATCCCTCTATGATGCCTCGTTTGCTCTTAGCACTCTCACTGCACTTTCCACCCCCCACCCTGTGGTCTATGTGTCTACATGCCTGGGGTCTTCATCTCTCACATCCATATCTCTAGCCCTGTTGATTGCTTGGGCACTAATTCTGGCAGCTCTCGCTTTGATTTGGTTTTAGTTGACTGATCTCTTTTTTTATTATTATAAAATATTCTTTTTTAAGAAAAGATTTATTTATTTTATGTATGAGTGCTCTATCTGCATGTACAATTTTATGCCAGAAGAGGGTATCAGATCCCACTATAGATGGTTGTGAGCTACCATGTAGTTTCTGGACATTGAATTCAGTACCTCTGAAAGCGTAGCCAGGCCTCTTAACTGATGATCCATCTCTCCAGCCCTGACTAACTTCTCTGGTAGGCCATATCATTTTGCTCTTTTGTGGATGTGGCAATTTCTGGTTGGATGCTAGACATTGTGAATTTTACCATAATTCTTGGTCTTTTTTAGTTCTATAAACCTTTTGTTCTCAGAGCAGTTACTTGAAAACCAGTTTGACCCTTTTAGGGAGACATATTCTCATTCTCTCTTCTTTGTTCCTCACCTACCCCCTCCTGCCCCTTTTCTTCCTTTCTTTCTTGTTGGTTTGGAGTCAAGGTCTCATGTAGCCTAAGTTGACCTCGAACTTGCTATATAGCCCAGGTTGGCCTCAGACTCACATATAGCCCAGAATGATTTTGAATCCTCCTGTTCTGCCTTCCAACTTCTGGTATCATAGACATGTGCCACTATGCCTAGTTTCAGATCTCTTTCTAGATTGGCTAATAAAGACCAGAACAGTGCTCCATCCTTCTCCACTATTGAGGTAAGATCCTTTTGTGTATTGTACTAAACATCCTGTGAATTGTGGTGTTTTCCAGTCTGTTTGTTCTTGGCTAGTGTGAATACTGATCATTCTTTCCAATCTTTCCAAACATGCTTCTCCCCCACCCCCATTGGATGGCTTCCTTCCTCCTCCATGTATTCTGGTGGGTACTCATACTTGAGCATCCTTTGCCAATGTCCAGAGTGTTCTTTTCATCCCTCTCCCCAGGACACTGCCTCCTCCAGATTTTGGTCACTTGAGTCTCATTTTGGAGTTCTCACAGGAAGTCTGCTGGCCTCTATTTGTGGCCTTCTCTTGTTCTGTGACCTGGATTTGTTGGTCTTTCCTAAGCTCTGTATTTGACCTTATTCAGCAAGCATTTGCCTGTGTCTGCTGTAGGCTGAGGAACTAGGGTGAATGAGGGCCCAGTCTCAGTCCTCAGGTGAGGCTGAAGAGGTAGCATAAGACTAAGCCAACCCAGGCCCTGGCATAAGGAAGTTTTCTCAGGGCTTTAGTTAAGGGCAGGAGCATGGAGACCAGAATTTTGTTTGGCTTTTGAGACAGGATTTCTTTATGTAGCTCTGACTGTCCTAGAACTCACTATATAGGCCAGTCTGGCCTTGAACTCACAGAGATCCACCTGCCTCTGCTTCTGCCTCTGCCTCCTGGGTGCTGCGCTAAAGGTGTATGCCGCCACACCTGGATTAGATTGTTTTTTAATTAATTGTTTTGAAAACTCTTGCTTTCATTTTTTTCTACTTTCAATTCTAGCCAGGATATTTGGTTAATTTAGTCTTTATTACTCCATCTTAGTTAGTTTCTCTGTGTAGTTTTGGAGCCTGTCCTGGCACTCACTCTATAGACCAGGCTGGCCTTGAACGAACAATCTACCTGCCTCTGCCTCCCAAGTGCTGGGATCAAAGGTGTATGCTGCCACCGCCAGCTAATACTTGATACATATTGTACATTGGTTGAATGTGTACTAGAATATGTTTTTGTTTTTGAGACAGGGTTTCTCTGTGTAACTCTGGCTGTCCTGGAACTTTAATGCCTCTGAGTGCTGGCATTAAAGACATGTGCAACCACCATTTGGCTTTTTTTTTAAACAGTCTTATGTCGTAGTCCAGGCTACCCTCAAACTTGTAATGATCCTCTTACATTTTCCTTTCCAGTGCTGGGATTATAGATGTGTTCCATTGTGCCCAGCTTTAGAATCAAGTTTTATTTTAGGGAGTATGTTATATGACAGTGTCAACAGCTTAATTTAAGATTCATTGTCCTGGATCATCAGACTCTGGAAATAACAGACTTTCTGCACCATTCTCAGGGACCATTTTTGCATATGGACAGACTGGGACAGGCAAGACTTTCACCATGGAAGGCGTCCGTGCTGTGCCAGGGCTCAGAGGGGTCATCCCAAACTCATTTGCTCACATATTTGGTCACATCGCAAAAGCAGAGGGTGACACAAGGTGAGAGAGTGCTTCCATTTCCTAATAGTGAGAGGTTCAGACCTGAGAAAGACCTCAAGGCATCAAATTTATAAACATATTTAAGACATTGAATATTCCTTTGTACTTGCAGGTTTTTGGTTCGAGTGTCATACTTGGAGATATATAATGAAGAAGTTCGAGACCTTTTGGGCAAGGATCAGTCTCAGCGGTTGGAAGTAAGGATGGACTTGGAGTTAAGATAAAAATTGAAGGGCAGGTTGTGGTATCACACGCCTTTAATCCCAGCAGTCAGGAGGCAGAGGCAGGTGGATCTCTGTGAGTTCTAGGCCTGGTCTACAGAGTGAGTTCTAGGACAACCAGAGAGGCCTGCTCTTTTCTGAAGGGAAAGGGAGGACCAGTGGGTCTAGGGAGAGAGGGGACGTCCAGGGGCAGAGGGAAATGGGGACTGGGAGGAGTAGAGGAAGGGGATGCTGTGGTTGAGATGTACTGTGTGAGAAAAGAATAAATAAAAAGAAATATGAAAAAATTTGGAATAGAGTGCTTGCGAAATTAAGATCCCTTTTGTACAACAGGTACTTTTAAAAAACTACCTGCATCCTTTCCCTTAGCTGGGTGTTGGTGGCGCACACCTTTGATCCCAGCACTCGGGAGGCAGAGGCAGGCGGATCTCTTTGAGTTTGAGGCCAGCCTGGTCTCCAGAGCGTGTGCCAGGATAGGCTCCAAAGATACACAGAGAAACCCTGTCTCGGAAAAAAACAAACAAACAAACAAAAAACTACCTGCATGTGTCATTTATAAGTACAAACCCATTTGAGCATAAGACACTGAAGTATGGCTGCTGAGTTCGGGTGGTAAATTTGGGAGATATTGCCATCTTAAAATATTTTTAGATACAAGACAAACAAGAAAAGATGAGCCTTTTAGACACTAGTATTGGAATATTTTTATTTTTGTAAGTGCCCAGTTTGATTTTTCTATTTGAAAATCCTTGCCAGTGTTCTCCTATCCCAAAGCAGTCTGTCTTCTATTTTTGTAAGTCTTAGGTTAAATATCATGTTGCAGAAGCTTACCCTGTTACTTTTAACTAGCTTGTCCCTGAATACATTCCCAGGGCTGACAAGATGGTTCAGCCAGGTAAAGGGGCTTGCCACCAAGCCTGAGGACCTGAGTTTAATCTCTGGGATTCACATGTGAAAGGAGAGAACCAGCTCCTATGTGTCTTCTGACCTCATGTGTGCCCTGGCATGCACCACACACACGCACGCACGCACGCACGCACCACGCACCATGCACACACGCACACATAGGCATGCACGCACGCACTCAGTGAACTATCCTTTCATACTATCTTGTATTTTATTCATGACATCATCACATTTAATTTTGTGTGCAGTATTAATTTGTACTGATGTATTGCTTACTACCTTTGTGAGGTATGGGCATTGTTTATAACCATATTCAACTATCTTCCCATGTATAACAGTAGACGCTCAGTAAGTAACTGGAAAACTTATTGTTATAAATATAAAGTCTTAGCATGATTTTTGTTCACTTTTTAGGTTAAAGAAAGGCCTGACGTGGGAGTATATATCAAAGATTTATCAGCCTATGTGGTCAATAATGCTGACGACATGGATAGAATCATGACATTGGGCCACAAAAATCGTAAGTGTGGTACATAATATGAAATGCCTACATTGGAATGCTGGTTGAGAAGCAAATAAATAATGCCTTTTGCCCCATAGATATTGAATTTTTGTTTAATCTTTATTATGTATACAGTGTTTTATCTGCATGCCTGCAGACCAGGAGAAGCCACCAGATCTCATTATAGATGATTGTGAGCTACCATGTGGTTGCTGAGAATTGAACTCAGTGCTCTTAACCTCTTAGCCATCTTTCTAGCTCCAATTGGAGTAAGTGACTAACTCTGTTGCATTAAGAAAATAGAGTATTTTCTTTTCTTTTTCCTTCCCACCTTTCTTCCTTCCTTCCTTCCTTCCTTCCTTCCTTCCTTCCTTCCTTCCTTCCTTCCTTAATTATTTCAAGACAGGGTCTTACTATCCTAGTAAGATTTTATTTCTTTTTATTTTATTTGTATGAGAGTTTTGAGTTTTGCCTGCATGCATGGAAGTGCATCACATGTATGCAGTGCCCACAAAGGTCAAAAGAAGCCATAAGATTTCCTGGCACTGGAGTTACAGACAATTGTGATCAGCCAAGAGTGCTGGGAACCAAACCCAGGTCCTCTGAAGAACAGCAGGCACTCCTAACTTTAGGATCATCTCTCTCCAGCCTCTTTTTTGTTTGTTTGGTTTTTGTTTTCTTGATAAAGGATCTCTCTACATAGCCTTGGCTGTCCTGGAACTCACTGTATATACCAGGAGGGCCTTGTACTCACAGAGATCTGCCTGTTTCTACCTCCTAAGTTAAAAGTGGTGCCACCAAACCCCACTCTCCATCCTCTTAATAGTACCAGTCTTTGAAGCTGTCATACTGTTACAGCTTGCTCATTAAAATATTGGTAACATTTTGGTTGAGCACTTAGTGAGTGGGAAATGCTTGTGCTGTGCGCTTTATGGGGATGATCAATTAGTCTTTACTGTAGTCTATGGGGACATAAAGTTCCTACTTCATAAATAAGGACACTGAGATGTATTTTAAATACCATGTCTAAGGTAATATAATTGCTAAGTGGTAGGGTGAGTGTTTGAACGTAGGCTACTAGTCTGAGTTAGCCAGAATATATACTGCTTCCCTTCTGTTGAAAAGAAAAGCAAAATTAAGCTAACATTTTCTCCTTCTAGTAATTGTTGCAGATTTTTAATCTAAAGGGTAAAAATCTTGCCAGGTATGATAGCATATACCTTTAATCCTAGTGTTCAGGAAGCAGAGGCAAATGGACCTCTGAGTTTGAGGCCAGCTTTGTCTGCATAGGGAGTTTTAGGCCAGAAAGAAAGAACTATCTTCCCCATGCTGGCCTCAAACTTGTGATCCTCCTATCTCAGCCTCCTAATTTACTAGGATTTCAAGAATGAACTTCCACACTGATTGCTTAGCATGTGTTAAAATTTGTTTGTTTGTTTGTTTTTAGCAAAGTCTTACATGTAGCCCTGGTTGGCCTGAAACTTATTGTATAGATGAAGCTGCCTCACTGAGTTCCGTCTGCTTCTGCACCATCTGTGCCCAGCTCTTCATGTTTTAACAAAGTTCCTGTGGGACTGGCATCTTTTGATGTTACTGGATATGAATCCATCTATTGTTTTTAGTAGCCCTTTATTGACTTAGCTATTCCATAGTAGATTAACTGATGTTGTTGTTGGTCCTTTCTGTTTCAAACTGTGGGTAACACTGATTCCTCGTGCAACATCTAATGTGTGTGTGTGCAAATCATTTTGCAGTTGGGGAGTCCCAAACATAACTCTCTAGAGAGAGTTGTCAGCAATTTTTCCCCAGTTATTCAACACTTGTTTCTTTTCTTTTCTTTTCTTTTCTTTTCTTTCTTTTTCTTTTTTTTTTTTTTGGTTTTTCGAGGCAGGGTTTCTCTGTGGCTTTGGAGGCTGTCATAGACCAGGCTGGTCTCGAACTCACAGAGATCCTCCTGCCTCTGTCTCCCGAGTGCTGGGATTAAAGGCGTGCGTGCGCCACCAATGCCCATCAACACTTGTTTCTTTTTATGGTGTAATTTTTTTGAAGAGAGAAGATCTTGCTGTTTCCAAGGCTGGCCTAGGCCACCTGGGTTAATGCATTCTCCTGCCTTGGCCTCCTAAGTATACACCACCATGTCCAGATTCATAGATAGTTATAATCTTTACATAGTAATATTTGGGAGTCAAGTGAAGAATGTTATTCTGTGATTATATTTTTGGTTTTGGGGGCTTTTTGGGGGGGAGGGTTCGAGACAGGGTTTCTCTGTGGCTTTGGAGGCTGATCTAGAACTAGCTCTTGTAGACCAGCCTGGTCTTAAACTCACAGAGATTCGCCTGCCTCTGACTCCCGAGTGCTGAGACTAAAGGTGTGCGACACCACTGCCCAGTGATTATAATATTTGGGAATGAAGTAAAGAATGTTATGCTATGATTATGTTTTAAAGTGAGTACATTACAGATTCTTTAATTATAGTGTGAATTATGAAAGAAGTATACAGTGGCCGAACACCTGTAGTTTATGGTTAGTCATAGTCAGTGGCTTTGACTGTGATGCAATCAAATATTTTAAACGTTCCAGGTATTTAATTAATAAAGGCACTCTCTGGGCTGAGGCTAGCTCAGTTGGTAGAGTGCTTATCTAGCATGCATCAAGTCCTGGGTCAATCCCCAGCACTCTATAAACTGTGGGTGCTGGTGCTCAAGAGGTAGAGATAGGAGATCAAAGTTCAAGGATAGCCTGGGTTACAGGATACCCCTTCAAAACAACAAAAAAAGTAAACATCAAGTCATTCTGTTACCGTTTTTTAAGGGTTTCTTTTCTTCGTTAAAGGTTCTGTTGGTGCCACTAACATGAATGAGCATAGTTCAAGATCCCATGCCATCTTTACAATTACTATAGAATGTAGCGAGAAGGGCGTTGATGGAAACATGCATGTCAGGATGGGGAAGCTGCACCTTGTGGATCTCGCAGTAAGTAACAGGATGCTACTTAAGGGAGAGTTTGTCCTTGTGGTCCTTTTATCTGTTAATAAGAATTAAAGCCAGAAGGTGTGGTACTTGTGATTTTAAGTTGCTTATTACTGTGGGATATCTGACAATGAGAAGATGTAGTAGTGTTATGATGCTGTGCTTGTTTGTTCGTCTCCTGCCTAGGCTCTCTGTCTCTTCATACTTCTTCCTTCATTATTGTGAAGTGAATTCCAGATGTTACATGAATTTTTTTGAATTACTTTAAAAACCAGATTTTAGAAAACTGTATTCTTGATTTTAAAAAACTTTTAGTTTTTGTCTGTTTATCACTAGGGGTCAGAAAGACAAGCAAAGACTGGAGCCACAGGACAGCGCCTCAAGGAAGCTACAAAAATCAACCTTTCACTGTCTACCCTGGGCAATGTCATTTCTGCCTTGGTGGATGGGAAAAGCACCCATGTGCCGTATCGAAACTCTAAACTGACACGTCTTCTGCAGGATTCGTTAGGAGGGAACTCAAAAACCATGATGGTAAGACTTCAGTTACAGCATACTTACTTCATATAAGGCTAATTTCAGATTCTAATTTATTCCCATAATTGATGTGAACAGCATTTTTCAGGTCAATCCCTTTTCTTTGTGTAATACAACATGTAATTAATTGTCCATGGTTGTATTGTTTCCATACCTGTATGATTGATACTGGTTTTTAGAAGACCAAACTGCGTATGTGGCTTGGGCATTTGTTAATGGTGTTATTACTATCGGTGTAGAACAATTTATGTTTCTAATTCAACAGTGTGCAAATATTGGGCCAGCAGATTATAATTATGATGAAACCATCAGTACCTTGCGGTATGCCAACCGTGCCAAGAACATTAAAAACAAAGCGAGAATTAACGAAGATCCTAAGGATGCTCTGCTCCGTCAGTTTCAGAAAGAGATAGAAGAGCTGAAGAAAAAGCTTGAGGAAGGTAACTTCTCACAAAGATTACTGTCAGCTGAGGCATGCTGGTGACCACTGCATTTGCTTCCAAAATGACCTGCCAAGCAATAACCTCTAGCATTGATATTTGTCTATGTGTGTGCCTACGTGTATGTTGGGCATATGTGAGTGCAAGCACACACATGCCATGGGTATGTGTGAAGGTCAGAGGATGCCCATGGTAGCTGGTTCTCTCCTTGCACTCTGGTTCTAGAGATTGAACTCATGTCAGGTTTAGAGGGCAAATATTTTACCTGATGAACCCTTTGTTGGACCCTAACATTGACATTTAAAAATATTTCTGAGGAATATGGGTCTTTTAAGAAAATGTTTTCTAAGACCATCTAGAAGGTTACAAAGTTTGAAGTCTCAGCCAGTGGTGGTGGTCCACACCTTTAATGCCAGCATTTGGGAGGCAAAGGCAAGCCAGTCTTTTGAGTTTGAGGCCAGCCTGGTCTACAGAGTGAATTTCAGAACAGCCAAGGCTACACAGAGAAACTCTGTCTCAAGAAACCAAAACAAACAAAACAACAACAAAATAGTTTGAATTCCTGACTGATGGTGATAAGGAGCTTCCTTTTCAGTTCTGGGACTCCAAGGCTATCAACAAGGGGATGAGCCCTCTATGACTGGCACAGAGTCCCTGTACAGCAGGTGAAGAGCCTGGTGTCCAAGCCATTGGAGTCTCTGGGGAAAACTCAGAGGTGCCAGCTGCCGCTAGTGTGTCTGGGGAAAGCCAGGTTCTGAGAAAAAGGGTAGAGGATCACTTCACAGATAATAAAGTTGGCATTTTCCTCCCTCCCTCCCTTCTTCCCTCCCTCCCTCCCTGTCTTCCTCCCTGTCTCCCTCTCTTCTTCTCTCTCTCCTTTGGGACAGGGTGGCTTTCTGTAGCCTGGACTGTCCTGGAACTCATTATGTAGACCAGGCTGGCCTTGAACTTAAAGATTTGCCTGTTCTGTCTCCTAAGTGCTGGAATTAAAGGCATGTGCCACCACAGCCAGGTGTTGCTGCACCTCTTGGTCCTTGTGAGTGGTATGGCTGTGTGCATTTTATACTCATGTTTGAGTCCTTGTACATACTATGCTGGGCACATATCCAGAGGCAGTCATAAGTCATATTCTTTGTATTGTGTTTCATTTTATTTGTGTCCTTCTGACCCTGTGCTCTGTAGGCAAAGGCCTGCCTCTGCCTCCCGCCTCTGAAAACAAAGGCATGTACCACCACCCAGCTAATTATCAAATTTTTAAAAATGCAAATGCAGGGGCTGGAGAGATGGCTCAGAGGTTAGGAGCACGGACTGCTCTTCCAGAGGTCCTGATTTCAATTCCCAGCAACCACATGGTGGCTCACAGCCATCTGTTATAAGACCTGGTGCCCTCTTCTGGTGTGCAGATATACTTGGAAGCAGAATGTCATATACATAATAAATAAATAAAATTTTAAAAATGCAAATGCAAAAATATTCAAATGCTACCACATAATCTGTGTGTATGTTTACACCTGTACTGACAGGTGTAAAAGAGATTTTAACTTCTCTTTTAGGACTGTAAAAATAAAATTTATAGCTAGGCATGAAGGTACACATCTTTAACCCAGCACTCAGGAGACAAATGCAGGCAGAGTGCTGTGAGTTCCAAGCCAGCTGGAGCTACATAATTAGAGCCTGTCTCAAAATTTACTTTTTTTAAAAAAGTAAAATAAAATTTCTGTGTACTCCGGGCGGTGGTGGTGCATGCCTTTAGTCCCAGCACTCAGGAGGCAGGGGCAGGTGGATCTCTGTGAGTTCAAGGCCAGTCTGGTCTATAAGAGCTGTCCTGGTCCAGGACAGCCTCCAAAGCCACAGAGAAACCCTGTCTCAACCCCCCCAAAAAAATTTCAGTGTACATTGTATGCGTGGTTGTACATGAATATAAGCATGTGCACACGCTTGTGATTAGGACAGAGGGGGTGTTGTTTCTCAGATACTATCCACTGTCTTGGTGAGCTAGGGGAAGACAGACCTGGAACTCCCCAAGAAGGCTGGGCTGGCTTGTCAGCAAACCTCAGGGATCCCTAGTCTCCACCTGATTATCAGATACACTATCTGTGAACATTTAAATAGATTTTCAATTTCTGTTTGAGCAATGAAAACTTTAGAGAATGGATATAGGCATTTTCTAAATAGACAGTGACTTGGTACAGACTAAAATTGTTAAATTTCTGTCCAAGGTGAAGAAGTGTCAGGTTCTGACGTCAGTGGGTCAGAGGAGGATGACAATGAGGTGGGTGAGCTTAGAGAAGATGGAGAAAAAAGGAAGAAGAGAAGGGGTAAGTGTTGTTCCTTTCTAACTGGTCACGACTGATTAGAATTGCTCCCTAATGATGCCTCCTTTATGTTTGGTATTTTTAATTATAGTAGTGGTTCCAGCAGGTTAACTTTGCACACATTCTCTCTTGCTGACACAGGATGCCATATTGTTGCTTGTAAAATTTTTAAGTTGTAAAATTCTGTGGTAGTAGGTACACTATCTTATAATTTTACAACTATGTTAGGTCCCTACCAGCTTTTGAAATTAGGATAAAGTTGGATTTTTCTTTAAGTGATGTTAACCTTTAAAACTCATTTGCCACTGGTAGGTTTGAATGAGGATCATAGTTTTTCACTGATCTTGGTAAACTGTGTCATTCTCACCCTTTGGGGCCGCTTCCAGCATGAAATAAGACTGCTCTGCTGAGGCCGCAGTGGCATGGAGAAAAGGATGTCCCTGCCTCATTTCAAACTCAGAGCTCAGCTCCTGCAGGCTGCTACACAGTCATGGTTAATCAGTTGTTGAAAACAAACCCATGACTGCTCTATGGGGAACCCAGATTAAAGACTGGAGATTCTGTAGGGCAGAAGTTGGCAGAGTACAGTGTGCTGGCCAAGTCCATATGGAACCCGTTTTTGTAAATGAATTGTTCTTAAAACAACCTCGATCATTTGTTTACATGTGGTCTGTGACTGTCACATCAAAGCAAGTGACCTTGCTGTTGGTCCTTTCTCAAAAACTGTTTATCAGTCCCTGACTTAAAAAATGTTTTTATTCATAGCTAGTTTTTCAGAGTAAACTATTGTTTTCTGACTTGAAGCAGATAGTACACTTACTAAAAATGAGTTTTATGTAGAAAAATGTACCACTGTTTAATATGTTACAATATTTTAACTATGTCTGAGAAGTGCTGAGAAGCTTAACATTTTTCTCTGAGCCTTGTCAATTATCAATTATGCTGTCACGCTTTAGACATAAGTCATTAAGTCTGGCAGCATGATGTCTTGAGGGGATGGGGAATTGGAAACAGTACCTTGTCTATAATGAAGGGCAACTGATTTCTGTAATGTGAATTGTGTGATTGTTTTTTTTTTTTATGTTTTAAAGCTGTTTCTTTTTCTTAGCAGCATTAATAGACTTTCATGTCACCAGGTGACATTTTGTCATTTCAACCCTCTGAATAATTATGTTTAGATGAGTAGTGGGGTTTGCCACTACTGCAGATCTGTAAAGAAATGCAGTTTTAACTCCCTGCATGGCTTTGTGACAAGGAAGCAGCTAAACTACTTACTTAGTTTTAAGCTAGAGTGAGTTGCTCTTGAATGCAGAGCTTGATTGTCCTCTAACTTCTTCCTGCAGAACTCAAGTTTTCTCTGTGTATTCTTGTTCATTTCTTGTTCCCTCTCTCTGGTTCCGTGGGCTCGTTTCTTTGTCTTGCAGGCAGTAGCAGCAGCAGTAGCTCAGACTCCACATGTTCTGTCATAGAGAAGCCTCTGGATGAGTTCTTGCCTCGTGAGTGGCGGCCCTCACCTTCTCTAACAGAGCTCTGGCTTCTCCATCACTCATGGGCTTCATTTGGGAGATGGCTGCCCCACTCCCTGTCATGACTGGTCCATGTTGGGCTCCCAATAGAAAAGCATGTGGCCCCACCCTGCCATGGCTTCAGTTAACTGTGAAACATAGGCCAGAGCCTATGTTTGAGACAGTGGAAGAGAGAATCATGCTTTTGCTGCTGAGATAATGTAAAGAGAGCTAGTAAGCTGTGTGAAAGAATAATTCTCAGGGTTCATTTTTATGCTTCATTATACATTTCTAATCCTGGTCAGTGAAAGAGATGTGAACAAGTCTTGAATCTCTACAAGTCCAAATTAATGGTTTTTGGTGCAGCAGCACCCAATGTAACAAGCTCCAAATAAAGAGATGCGTGAAGCCGGAGGCAGGAGAGAAGACTGAGTGTGTTTGACCCCGACTGGACGATTCCCCACCGCTAAGTTACCAGGTTAATTTTAAGACTTTTTCTGCAGTGTGATAAGAAAATTCAGAGTCACACAGAGTTCATAAAGTCTGTCTAGACTTCTGCAGTCTTAATTTTTTTTGTAAACCGTAAGTTGAAAAGCATTATTTAATTTTGTCTATTTCTACTTTGAGAAGAAAATGGGAGCGATGCTTGCTTCCGCCAGCTTGCAGCTTGCTGTCTCTTAGAGCATTATCTATGTCCTTACCTTTTCCAGACTAATGGCAGAAACCATTGCTTCTAGCTCTACTAGGGAAAATCTCAAGAATCTCAAGACACTGTGTCTGTTGACACCGTTGAAGCAAGTTACCAGAACATCTGACCTCACTGGATAATTTACAAAATACACGGCATTGTTCAGACACCACATAGGAGCACAGTTTCGTATTATAAACTGTGAAACGAGAGAAAATATCTGAGAGGAAGCTTTGTAATTTAATTTTCTGTTCTAAAACTTACCATTCTTAGAGAGTAGTTATATGAAAGTAGGTTATGAAATGAGTTGTTCCTTATTCAATTCAAGACTTTTTTTTTTCCAATTCAAGAAGCTTTAATTGCTGTTTTCATGCCTAGCACTTAACTTTTGTTGTCATAACATGGATGTGTTTGGGAGGTGGAGAAGAGGATTGCCCCAGCATGTGGTTGCTGTGTGTAACTTGTGTGTATGCCCCTCCCATTAAAAAATATGAATGGCAGTTTGATGTCCCTTGCTTGAATCATCAGTTGTCATTTATTTCTCTAGCCATTATTTAATTACCCAGAACAATCAACTCATAGGCTGAATGTAATAAGTTTGCTACTATACAGGTGCACTTCATTTTACGTAATTAGAGAAAGCTGCTTAAAAATAAGGTTGGAAAATAAAATATTGTGAACTTACTGCCTTTAAAATTCATTATCCCTTTTGTTAATCACATCAGTATGAACTATTCTGAAATAGTTTATCTGCCTAGTTGCTTCAGGTCTACCTGGTGGATTTTCTTAAAATGAGGGACACCTGTAATGGGTCTTTATATAGAAGAAACATTGAATTGGGAAATTTTGAAATGGACAATGAAATCTTTGTTACTTTTAACTTAGTAATTTTAAAAATTTACTTCAGTTTTGGTTTTGCCGTTTTAGATATTTTCCAGGTCTTAGTAGGTTCCCAATTCCATGTCTGTAATCCATCAGCATATGCACTGAGCTGTTCCACTCTCAGGGGGTTCTGTGGGCACCTGGGATTTCATGGGAACCACAGAGTGGATTGAGTCTAGCATTTGTGAGTGTCTTCTTATGGAACATGCTTTCTTTTTCTGTGGACCCTTTCAGTTTTGATTATTTGATTCATGTCTTTGCTCATGCTAAATGAATGCTGTTACACATCTCTCTGTTTTACAAAGGAAATAATGTTTTCCTTTCTTCCCTCCTCATCTCTGTGCACATGTTTCCTGTCTGCGACTCGCTTACCGCTTCTTTGCAAGACCAAGCAGGTTGGTGTGATTGGCTTGCACTCCACATGGTGCAGTTACTCATTTCTCAAGACCTTTTATTTAAGTTCTTCACATTTTTTTAATTTAATAATTTTTACAAGGTAAGTATCTGTCTTTTTTTAAATTCCATTTTAGCTACTTTAAAAAAAACTTTTTTCCTAAATTCCTAAAAATCCACTAAGCTAGTTTTTGAAAATACACTTATAAATTGATTCGACATTCAGGCATTTTCCTTTTTTGAAGGCCAAGAGTCAGTTATGTTGCCCACACCATGGGTGCTTGAGATACAGATGACATTAATCCAGCTGGCACTTGCTGCAGTGCCCCCCTTTCCTGCCCTGCCGGGTCACCTCCACTCAGGTGGCACCTGGCAAAAGGGAACAGAAGGGCTCACTACTTCTCTTTGACTAAGCTAAATACCTTTTATAGTATCAACATGCCTTTTGAGATTTGTTTGTTTGTTTTTTATTTTGAGACAGGGTTTCTCTGAGTAACAGCCCTGATTGTCCTGGAACTCGATTTGTAGACCAGGCTGGCCTTTAACTCCTGTCTGTCTCCCAAGCACTGGGGCCAAAGGCATGTGCCACCACTGCCCAGCTGCCTTTTTAGATTTATTTACTTAAAATTCTTGTGCAAAATTTTATCAAGGAGAACTAGAAAAGTTTCTGAGATTGGGTTTTTATTTTTGTTTTGTTTTTTAAATTGATTTGGTTGAGGAGACTGTGTATGTGTGTTTTGTTCTGTGAATGAACCCAGGGTGGCCAAGGATTGAGCTGCACCCTATCTCCTTTTTTAAGATCTCTTCAGAAGTCTATGTAGTCTCTTACCCATGGAGGGATCAAAGTGCTCATTGACTGCACAGGGGGCAGGTCACTTCGGCTCCCACTGGAGGCTGAGGCTTGTATCAGGGGAGCACAGGGTAAAACTTCATTCCTTAAAGATCTATGTACCGTAAAGATCAAGTTACTCTTGGTCATCAAAGCTTTTACACGGTCATATGTAGCTTCAACTGTTATGTGAAGAAAATACCATGGTTTGTCCCGATGATTCTGGCTAGAGCCACATGGACTTGAATGTGTGGGCTTTTGAACTGAAACCCTCTTGAGCAAGTGAGACGCTTGCTTCTTTCTAAAGCATGTGTTTGAGGGGGTTACAGGTAAGATGATCAGTTCATCAAGAGACAGTGCTTATATACTTTCATATGCAAACCCTTTTTGTAATATTCCCTCCTGATGGGTTTTTCAGACTCTTTATTATAACTCTTAGCAAAATAAAACACTACAAGTCCAAAATTCATACATTGATCCAGTCATTTAGTCTGTGCCCTTAGTACCTATGTCTTCACAACACTATTTTGGTTTTTAATGTGTTTGCAATTTTTCTCTAAACATTTGTAATCCTGAGGTGGAAGTTACATATTTTATTGTACCTGCACTTCCTGTAAACCTCAATTTAGACTTTTCTTCTCAAATTTTTTAATAACTATTACTATGGAGAGAAAAATCTTCTCAAGTAATTCATTGGGAATAGAAGTTAACTTATTTGTGAAAATTACTCTTCTATAGTGTAATTCAGAAGGTTCAAGGTAGGTGGCTGTGCCAATAGGCCTGGGCCCACCTCTGACACGGAGTGCAGTGAATCACACCACACCAGCCGCCTGGATCACAGCTCTTAGTTCCTCTTTGGTTTTGTGCTAAGATTTTGCTTTAGACTTTGGTTCTGTAGAAGGAAGGATGCCGTTAAACCCTTGAGTTCCTAATGAGATTTTGTCTTCAGAGTTGAAAAGCTTATGCATGCCCTGCCTTTTCTGGTTCCTACAAGAATATACTCAGATCTGTAGTGCCGCCATGATTGTTTTAGTCCCTTTTCCTTATTAGCAGGAGGGGCTGGGTTAGGGGTGGAGACATTAATCTGCAATCCTCTGTCCTTGTCCCTTGGGAAGGAAGTTGAGAATGACAAACTCTCCAGAGAGCCTCGGGTCTGACAGTTCTGTGAAATGCTTGTTGTTCTGAGTGAGCGCATTTCTAAGAATTTGCATCAACCAGAAATGAACTGTCATTGGCTCAGTTTCAGAACCATTTCAATAAGCTAGTGTTGGTTTTCTCTTTTTGATTTTTTCATATCACTTCATGGTTTTGAGGTTTATTGGTAAACTTTGTGTGAGCAGGCTATACACATATATCTCTACATGCTTAGACATTACAGTCAGTTGGAAGCTGCATTCCACCCTGTTAATTGGTTCTTGGCATGTTTGATCTGAGTTAGGGACTTTGATGATTTAGTCTGACATAGTAAGTTACTTTGGTGGCTCATTTATGATTTGCCCAGGCAGCTTATCAATGTAAACACCTGCTGCCCAAAATGAGTGACTTACATAATGAGTGTGGAAGTGATTGAAGAGTCCTTTTCGTTTTTCACCCCTGTATGTCATTTGGGGGTATACAAGCTTTGCTTTTTTATTTGGCTTTCTTATTACTTTTCTTTCCCTATTTTTCTGCTCATCTATTTTGTTCCTCTTTCATTTTCCCCCTTACATATCATTACATAGTTGGACAGCAGTTTGAATTTATTAATGAATTAAAAAGTTCTAGGAACTACGAAGTAGAAATGGAAGTTTAACATTTGCTGTTGTATAACTGGGTATGGACAATTCTATACTAAGATAATTCTTATGTCTGAAACACTGACTGCTTTTAGTGACTGCTGCAATTAAATGACTCAAATAGGTAAAAAGAAAGTTTCCCCAGATAAGATGATGGAAATGCAAGCGAAAATTGATGAGGAGAGAAAAGCACTGGAAACAAAACTTGACATGGAAGAAGAAGAAAGAAACAAGGCTAGAGCTGAACTGGAGAGACGGGAGAAGGACCTACTGAAAGCCCAGTGAGTGTGGTGGGGTCCAGATGGGTTCATGGCTGCAGTTTCTAGTGTTCTTCATAGGGTTGCGCATCAGGAAAATCAATCAATTAAAAAATAATCAAAAGCTTAATTTTTTTCTCCAGCATAGCTGTTCTAGGGTAGAGGGTCTACTATGTGTGATGTATTTTTAAAGTTTGGTTGGATATTTCTGATCATTTAATCTCTATGTAGAAGAAAATATTGGCCAATGTGAATTACACTTTAGTGTATGAGTTAATGCCATGTAGTGGTGTGATTTGGAGAGAGATCACATGGCTGAATTTTTCTAAGTGTGCATCTTCAGTTCTGCTTCTATTGGGAGAGTGAGATTAGAGCAGCAGATGACAGGGATGTAAAACATCCTCCTTTTCCTTATAGACAAGAGCATCAGTCTTTGCTGGAAAAACTGTCTGCTTTAGAGAAGAAGGTCATTGTCGGTGGTGTGGACTTGTTGGCCAAAGCTGAGGAGCAAGAGAAGCTTCTTGAGGAGTCCAATATGGAGCTGGAGGAGAGGAGGAAGAGAGCTGAGCAACTTCGGAAAGAACTGGAGGAAAAAGAGGTGATGCCATGTTGAGTGCGGTATGTGCAACACGCTCACCTTTTCCAGTGAGAACCAAAAATAAAATGAAAGCAGATTATGGATCATTTTGAAGACAATAGTTACTAAACATCTAGATCATTTGTTACATTGAATTTGTAACTTAGAGAAAATTATTCTGAAGTTAACCTGTTTTTATCCTAGCAAGAACGCTTGGACATTGAGGAAAAATATACCAGTCTGCAAGAGGAGGCACAGGGAAAGACCAAGAAATTAAAGAAAGTCTGGACCATGCTGATGGCTGCAAAGTCAGAGGTTGGTGTCTTAGAAACTGTCCATAATACAGATTAGAATCTTAATGTATGCTTGCAAGTTTTTTGCTTTTGTTATTAAGACAGGGTTTCTCTCTGTAGCCCTAGCTCTCCTGGAACTCACTCTGTAGACCAGGCTGGCCTCCAACTCACAGAGATCCCGAGTGCTAGGATTAAAGGCGTGTGCCACCAATGCCCCGCTTTTGTGCCTATATTTTTAAAGCATTAAAATACTTCTTTCTGTGTATTAACACCCTACCCCCAGCTATAAGTAATAATCCGAGCTAGCTAGTGATAGTGTCAATCTGTCCAAAAAATGGGCCGGTTCTTGCCAGGCCTCATAGACCAGTGTCCTAGGCCAGGTGCAGTATTTGTGCTTAAAATCATGTTTGCTTTGTACTGTCATGGATTCTCTGGTAGATGGCTGATCTCCAGCAAGAGCATCAGAGGGAAATTGAAGGCCTCTTGGAGAACATTCGGCAGCTCAGCCGCGTGCTTCGGCTTCAGATGCTCATTATTGATAACTTCATACCTCAGGATTACCAGGTGAGGGGAGAATCTGATCTAGACATCAGGTCATTGAGGAGGGCTAAAGAATAAGCCAGTACAACTAAATTAAGATATTACATGTTTGCATTGCAGCTGTCCTCTATAAAGCTTTCTTGAACTAATGCCATCATATAAAAGTGTCTTAGTTAGGGTTACTATTGTTGTACTCAAACATGATGACCAAAACAACTTGGGAACAAAAGGATTTATTTGGCTTACTCTTCCACATTAAGTTCATCAGTGAAAGAAGTTGGGACAGGAACTCAAACAGGGCAGGAACCTAGAGGCTGGAGCTGATGCAGAGGCCATGGAGGGGTACTGCTTACTGGCTTGCTCAGCCTGTTTTCTTAGAGATTCCAGGACCACCAACCCAAGTATGGCACCACTCACAATGGGCTGAGTCCTCCCCCATCAATCACTAACAAAAAGCCTGCCAGACAGTGGTGGTGTACACCTTTAATCCCAGCATTCAGGAGGCAAAGGCAGGCAGATTTCTGTGAGTTTGAGGCCATTTGGTCTACAGAGAGAGTTCCAGGACAGCCAGGGGTACACAGTGAAACCCTGTCTCACAAAAGAAAGAAGGAAAAGGAAGGAAGGGAGGGAGGGAGAAATGGAGGGAGGGAAGGAAAAGAAAAAAAAGAAAGGAAGAAAAATAATGCCTTACAACTGGATCTTATGAAGGCATTTCCTCACATGAAGTTCCCCCCTTTCAGATAACTTTAGCTCGTAACAAGTTAGCACAAGACCAGCCAGCACAAAGGTGTTAGCTTTTTTTAAATGTAAGTCTCTTTGTGAGTATCTAAGTATCTAAATAGGAATGTGTCAGCCTGGTTCATGTAAATGCCTGAAGAATCAAGGTGAAGCTCCTGTTGATTCATTGCATACTTTATTAGAAAGTAGAGAGGGAGCTGGAGAGGTGGCCCAGTGGCTAAGAGCACTGGCTGCTCTTTCAGAAAGCCCAAATCCAATTCCCAGCACCCACATGGCAGCTCACAACCACCTGTAATTCTAGTCCTGGGGGATCCAACACCCTCTTCTGTCTTCCACAGGCATTGGGCAGACATGTGGTTCACAGACACACATGCAGACAAAACATTCATACACATGAAATATATGCATAAATAGCAGAGTGTGCAGCCGTCCTCTCTTGATGTATGCTCTCTCTCTCTCTCTGTCTCTCTCTCTCTCTCTCTCTGTGTGTGTGTGTGTGTGTGTGTAAATAGAACATGAAATTGCCCATCCTAGTCATCTTTACGTATGCAGTTCAATAACACTAAATATATTCACTTGGTTTTCAACCAGCCATCATCACTAGTCATTTTCAGACAGATGGTGATTGTTATCAGCAGCATAATTTAAAAATCTTTTCTTTTTCTTAGCAAAAAATTTATTTATTTTTAAGTATGTGTGTATATAGGAATTTGAGTTTGTACACAAAGTCTAGGATAAAGTATTAGGTCCCCTAGAACTGGAGTTACAGGAGGTTGTGAGCTGCTGGATGTGGGTGGTGGGAACTTAACACTCAGGTGTCTGCAAGAGCAGTGAGCACTCTTAATCCCAGAGCCATCTCTCCAGCCCACCTTCTAGAATAGTCTTAATAAACCTAAATGTGTGATTTTTAAAACAAACAAAAAAAGCAATGCTGTGAATCTCAGAATAGCTATGAAAAACTATTCTGAAATTTTCCTTTCAGACCTCAGGTACCCAGAATCAATACTGGGTTTCTGGTACACTCCAAGATGAGATGCCCTAGTTCTGTGTTGTAACTCATTACCCAAAATCAGAGCTGAAATCTAGACTGTAACCTATTTCTAGCCTATTGGTTTCTCAGCTTTTCTACCTTTTGCCTCTTCCATCCCAGCCTGCCTGTCCTGATTCCCAGGACCCCAACTTCTGCTTTTTGTTTTTATGTATTTGAATAGTATCCACAAGTGTTCTTAAGAAATGTGTGTATGTGTGTGTGTGTGTTTAAATTTGTTTTTATTTCATGTATGTGGATGTTTTCCCTGTATGTATATATGTGTACCATGTGCATGCCTGGTGCCCAGTGACCAGAAGAGATTTCATATACTCTGGAATTAGTTACATACTGTTGTGAGCCCCCATGTAGGTGCTGGGAACTGAACCTATGTCCTCTGTAAGAACAATTGGCCTTAAACACCAAGCCAACTCTCCAGCCCAAGGAGTATATATTTTTAAATGCTTGATGCAGTATATAATATCTAGAAACAACTTTTTTTTTCACTTAACATTCATGAAAGTGTAGGTCTGATGGGTCAAATGGTTCAGGAAGTAAAGGCTTATTATTATGTAAACTTTTTGATCCCTGGAACCCACAAGAAGGTATAAAAAGAGAACTGACTCCACAAAGTTGTTCTCTGCCCTCACATAAGCACACATGTCTGTCCCACCTCCCCAGCACACACAATAGTGATAAAATGTAGGTCCTTAAAAGCTTGATTCAGGGAGGCATGGGGAAAGCAAAGGGATCATGTGAGCAACACATAGTGACAGATGGCAGGAAAATGCCACATTTCTATTGTCACAGTTCTGTTTATATTTTTCAATATTTTAACTATTGACTAAAAATAGGCTTTGACTCTTTCTAAAGGAAATGATTGAAAACTACGTCCATTGGAATGAAGACATAGGAGAATGGCAGCTAGTGAGTGTTCCTTTCACCCTTGAGATTATAGTGGAGCTGGTGCTGGCTGCTGTGGGAGGAGGGTGGCCCAGGATGGATCAGATCAGAACTCAGTGGACCAGATAAGATATTTTTCTGATTAACAGCAAAATGGAGACCATTTGTGGCAGTGGGTTAGGCCTGGGGCTTCTGGGTACTGGAGGGCCTCTTGAATCCTTTCTGCTCTAAGATCCATATTTTCTAGTGAGCCGGCATGTCAGGATGTCTTGCAGCAACCTTCCCAGTTCACAGTATTGATTGAGACATTTCTCTTCCCTCTTTTTCCTTTTTTGAGAAATGTGTGGCTTACACAGGAAATAACATGAGGAAACAGACCCCAGTGCCTGACAAGAAGGAGAGAGACGTAAGAGCACTTTACACACCTGATTGTCTTTATCAGAATTGGGGTTAGTGGGTATGTTGTCCCAGACTGGGGGTTGAATAGCCTGAATATCTTTTGTGAATAGAGGCTCATAGGT